ACTGCTTATACTACTACTATTGCTACTACTACTAATACTGCTAATGCTGCTAATACTACTAATATTGCTTATAGTACTAATACTGCTAATACTGCTACTGCTACTAATACTGCTTATACTTCTAATACTGCTAGTATTGCTTATACTACTAATACAGCTAATGCTGCTAATACTACTAATATTGCTTATAGTACTAATACTGCTAATACTGCTACTGCTACTAATACTGCTAATTCTGCTAGTACTGCTTATACTACTAATACTGTTAATGCTACTAATACTGCTAATGCTGCTAATACTACTAATGCTGCTAATACAACTAATACAGCTAATGCTGCTAGTACTACTAATACTGCTAATACTGCTAATTCTGCTAGTACTGCTAATAGTAGTAGAATTTTGCTGCTGAACCCTTTTAATCAAAAACATTAACATTTTACTGAGATTAAAAATTGCAGGGTGAGACATAGTAGACTCAAAATGAGGCCGTTGCTCATTAGTAACTCGCTATTATCTCGGTATATGCATCAGCAAATATCAGGTAATGGGTGTTGGTTGGCATTACACAAAAACAGAAAGACAAATTAACAGTGACAGTATAAAAAAATTTAAACCATAGAGAAATTATTTTTATTGTATTTTTTATACTTGATACAGTGAAAAACATGTATATCATATTATGTATGATGATAAAAAATAAATAAATAGAACAAGGTTGAAACTCTTGTCTGTCTATTGATTTCAGATACAGTGATTACAAACAGCAGGTCAGTAAAAGCCGTGGCGGGTGAGTGGCAACTGCCTCAATCAGCTGTAGTTGTTGCGGCAGGTCCGTAAAATCCGCGGCAGGTATAATGAAATTCCCCACTTTGAGAACCAGTGGGTATCCCTACAGACAGTGGCAAGTCCGTGCCAGGAGATAGAGACAGAGAGAGAGAGAGAGAGAGAGAGAGAGAGGGGGGGAGAGAGAGAGAGGTAAACAGCTGTTCACCACCCCCACCCACCACCCCTGTGATTTTGGCATTCATAAATTCAACAAATATTTAGTGCTCTGATAATGCTACATTCTTTTGTGCCAAGTCTTAATGGTTAAATCACTTTTTATTATCATTATTTTTTATTAAAAACTATCATTTAACAGCCCCACCGTCACTTCATCCTGTGGCAGCTGCTTCAAACAGCTGTAGTTGCCGTGGCAGGTCGGTAAATGCCGTGGTAGGTGAGTGGCAAGTGCCTCAAACAGCCTCAGTTGCCGTGGCAAGTCGGTAATGCCGCGGCAAGTCAGTGGCAAGTGCCTCAAACAGCCTCAGTTGCCGTGGCAAGTCGGTAATGCCGCGGCAAGTCAGTGGCAAGTGCCTCAAACAGCCTCAGCTGCCGCGGCAAGTCAGTGGCACCTGAGGATGCCACCGGAAGTTGCCACAGCAAACAGCGACAGCTGCCACGGCATCTGAAGTTGCCACCGGAAGTGCCACGGCTAGCTGCCTCTGCCACGATTTGCGCTTGCCCCTGCTGACAGCTAGTACTACCATTCAACCAACAGTGCACCTGTTCATACTGGTGTTGTGGTCTCATCAGACTGAATGTCAGTGTCTGTATTTTAAAGCTCTGATGAAGTTCATGTATTTGTTTTTGTGTAACTGGACCTTTGATCAGAGGTTCTCTACAGATGTGTCAGAAAGACCTCAACAGTCTCTGTACCACACTGATCATTCTCATGTTCACATGTTCTCCTGTTCACATGTCCTCCTTTCATCATGTTTTGTTTTGTTCCTTAAAGGTCATTGAGACGTTCTACGGTTATGATGAAGAGGCGTCGGTGGACTCTGACGGATCATCCTTGTCGTTCCACACTGACAGAACTCCAGACACTGAACCAGATGAGGTACACACACACACACACACACACACACACACACACACACACACACCTGGAACCTGTTTAGGGTTGTCGTGGATCAGAGGATCCAGAACCTCATCAGGAATCAGCCGTGGTTAAATGTACAACCAGAGTGAAAGAAACAAATGTTCTGCTTTGTGAAAACATGTTTTTATCTCAACACCTCCTGTTTTAGTCCTACCATCTAGGATGAGAACTCAACTGGTTCTCTGTGACCGCCAACACGTCTGAGTTTCATCAGACTGATACGCTTTTATCGTGTTTAACATCAGACGTCCTGAAAGATCGTATTTATTAACAGACAATGAATTAATTTCATCATCAGGTCTCCTATGAAGGATTATCTTCTGTCTGACTGGCTCTGGTTCTAGTCTGACTGGTCTTTACTGGTCTGACTGGTCCTGTTTATGTGTTTCAGGTGTGTGTGCGTGAGGAGTCGGAATTCCGTTACCGCCAGCTGACTCAGGAGTATCAGGCGCTGCAGCGAGCGTACGCTCTGCTGACAGAGACGAGCGGAGGACACTACGACCCTGAGAAGGAGATCAAGGTAACACAACCTCTGAGCAAGGCACTAACAGGTCAATGGTTCTATTCTCTGTAATGAAGCAAGGCACTAACAGATCAATGGTTCTATTCTCTGTAATGAAGCAAGGCACTAACAGGTTGATGGTTCTTTTCTCTGTAATGAAGCAAGGCACTAACAGGTCGATGGTTCTATTCTCTGTAATGAAGCAAGGCACTAACAGGTTGATGGTTCTGTTCCCTGTAATGAAGCAAGGCACTGACAGGTCAATGGTTCTATTCTCTGTAATGAAGCAAGGCACTAACAGGTCGATGGTTCTATTCTCTGTAATGAAGCAAGGCACTAACAGGTTGATGGTTCTGAGACAAAGAAAAAAACACATTAAAATGGGTAGTTGGTCAATCACATAAGATAAGTACATTTATAAAAATAGGAGCCAGCACTGCAAGAAAACAAGAAAAAAGGCAATTACCCAAAAACCGCTTGATGTATTTGATGCTAATTAAAGGAGGGTGTCCGGAGTATTAAAGGTGTGTCATGAGATTTACCTTGACGGTCATGAAAAAGGGTTAAATCAGCTCTAATCAATGGCAGGACCAGGCATTCACCTATTCAAGAGAGTCATCCAACCCAGGGAATGTATTGGCCATCAAGGGAAAAGCTGGCCTACAACACTGAAACGTGCATTTTAGAGGCCACATGCAGGAAACCAAACCATACCAATCAAACAAACAAAAGAACACAGATTGAATTTACACTGTATATATATAGTGTAGCATGAATGAGCTACACCTGGAGCCCATTCAACTCTAATCAGGCCTTCTTAAGGTAGACTGACCTTTAAGGTGGCCCAGCCAACCCTACTACAGTTCTATTCTCTGCAATGAATCAAGGCACTAACAGGCTGATGGTTCTATTTTCTGTAATGAAGCAAGGCACTGAAAGATCGATGGTTCTATTCTCTGCAATGAAGCAAGGCACTAACAGGTTGATGGTTCTATTCTCTGTAATGAAGCAAGGCACTAACAGGTCGATGGTTCTATTCTCTGAAATGAAGCAAAGCACTAACAGGTTGATGGTTCTATTCTCTGTAATGAAGCAAGTCACTGACAAGTCGATGGTTCTATTCTCTGTAATGAAGCAAGGCACTGACAGGTCGATGGTTCTATTCTCTGCAATGAAGCAAAGCACTAACAGGTTGATGGTTCTATTCTCTGTAATGAAGCAAGTCACTGACAAGTCGATGGTTCTATTCTCTGTAATGAAGCAAGGCACTGACAGGTCGATGGTTCTATTCTCTGAAATGAAGCAAAGCACTAACAGGTTGATGGTTCTATTCTCTGTAATGAAGCAAGTCACTGACAAGTCGATGGTTCTATTCTCTGTAATGAAGCAAGGCACTGACAGGTCGATGGTTCTATTCTCTGCAATGAAGCAAGGCACTAACAGGTTGATGGTTCTATTCTCTGTAATGAAGCAAGTCACTGACAAGTCGATGGTTCTATTCTCTGTAATGAAGCAAGTCACTGACAGGTCGATGGTTCTATTCTCTGTAATGAAGCAAGGCACTAACAGGTTGATGGTTCTATTCTCTGTAATGAAGCAAGGCACTAACAGGTTGATGGTTCTATTCCCTGTGTTTCAGACCAGAGAGCAGCTGCTGAGTGAAATCAGTCGATATCAAACCAGAGTTGCTGATCTGGAGTCAGCGCTGAAACAACAAGGACTGGTAACACACACACACACACACACACACAGATGATTTTAATAATGGCATTATTGTTTACATGTTTACATGTTTGAGAATATAAAAACATAAATCTGTGGTAACTGTCACAGGAAGGAGAACAGTTTATTTCTTCAGAGGTGAAATGAACCTCAGAACAGAACCAAAGAATGATTGGTCCATAAACCAGGTGAGAATATCATCTGCATTCTGATTGGTTCCAGGGTAGACTCCAGGAGAAAAGGGGTGTGTCTTCCTGCTGATCAGAGGGGCAGAGCACCAATCAGAGCCAGAGAGAGGTAGAACAAACAATAGAACTTAGAATAGAGTGTCCAGTTATGTTCCATGAAGAGCCAATCAAAATCAGATGAACCAGAACACACACACACACAATCAATATAGTCAATATAGTAACATGGCTGGGCACTGAGGAACCAGGTGAGGAAAGAACCACCTATGGGGAGCTCATCCACACTGAGAGGCGTCACAGCCTACGGCCACAGGGAGCGCCGCCACAAAGACCACCCCGACCCAGACAGACTGGGGTGGACTCCACACATGGTGCAGAGCCTCTCAGTCCTCTGGGCCTGAGGGATCTCCAGGACGACGTCCCCGCGGGCAGACCGGACACACCTCTTAGTGTGGAGGCCCCCCATGAGGAAACACTGGAGCTAAAAACTAAAAGACTAAAAGGCAATATGATAAGATAAAACAAGTATGAGAGAAAATAATGATTAAAAGCATAAAAATTTAAGGATTTAGAAAAAATTAACGATTAAAATTAATAATGATAAATAAATAAATAAAAGAAGATTTAGAAGTTTAATAATAATAAAATGTATAAAGATTTAAAAAATAAATAATTTAAAAGCATTAGAGATTAAAATAACATATAATAGAAATATAAAAAGAGTAGAAGAAATCAGTTAAAAGCCAAACTAAAAAGGTGAGTCTTGAGCCTCCTTTTAAAAACATCAACAGTCTCTGCAGTCCTGATGCTCTCCGGCAGGCTGTTCCATAAGTGAGGGCCATAATGGCTGAATGCAGCCTCCCCGTGGGTTTTTGTTCTGACTTTTGGAACAATTAAAAGGCCGGTGCCGGAGGACCTCAGGATTCACCAGGGTTATAAAAGCAGGTCAGATAAATAAGAAAGCCCAAGACCATTAAGACATTTAAAAACTAATAAAAGAACCTTAAAATCGAGTTCACTGAGATCATCAGATTAAAGCTGACACGTTTCAGAAGAAAAGGCCAAGGCCAACTTGACAGCTAATAGTTCCCGATTTCCCACATCGTAGTTTCGCTCTGAGGGAGAAAGTTTTCTAGAAAAGAAAGCACAGGGATGAACCTTTCTGTCCTTGGAAGAGCGCTGAGAGAGGACAGCTCCCACTCCCACACCCGATGCATCAACCTCAACGATGAACTGCAATCTTGGATCTGGTAGGGTGAGGATTGGGGCAGAAGAAAACCGCTCTTTGAGGGTTTTAAAGGCCTCCTCAGCCTCAGAGCTCCATGCAAACCTTGTTCCTGGGGACGTGAGAGAATGTAAAGGGGCTGTGAGCTATAGTTCCTGATAAAACGTCTATAGAAATTGGCAAACCCCAAAAATCTTTGCAGCTGTTTTCTGTCAGTAGGGACAGGCCAATCCGTGACAGCACTAACCTTATCTGGGTCCATCTTGAAACTGCCTGGTGCCACAGTAAAACCCAGAAATGAAACAGAGCGCTGATGGAAGTCACACTTCTCTGCTTTGACAAAAAGTTGATTCTCCAACAGCCGCTGAAGAACCTGACGGACATGTTGCACATGCTCCTCCTCAGACTTGGAAAAAATCAATATATCAACATGTCCCTTAAGACATCATTAACCAAGGCCTGAAAAACTGCAGGGGCATTGGTGAGGCCAAAGGGAAGGACAAGATATTCATAATGACCACTAGGTGTGTTAAAGGCCGTCATCCACTCATTCCCCTCTTTGATACGAACTAGATGATAAGCGTTTCTTAAATCCAGTTTAGTGAAAATGGAGGCCCCTTGCAGTTGTTCGAAAGCAGAAGACATAAGTGGAAGAGGGTACCTGTTCTTTACTGTGACCTCGTTGAGACCTCTGTAGTCAATGCATGGGCGTAGTGACGTCCTTTTTACCCACAAAGAAGAAACCTGCTCCAGCAGGTGAGGAGGAGGGACGGATGATTCCTGCAGCCAGGGAACTCTGAATGTACTCATCCATGGCCTCTCTCTCTGGGGCAGACAGTGAGTAGAGGCGACCTTTAGGTGGAGAGGCTCCAGGCAGGAGGTCAATGGCGCAGTCATATGGCCGATGGGGAGGCAAGGAGGTGGCTCGGGACTTGTTAAACACTTCCTTAAGATCCAGGTAGACAGAAGGGACACGAGAGAGATCTGGAAAACATCTGGAGACAGAGTTCTTGGAACAGGGACTGGGTGAGGCAGACATGAGACAAGATGAGTGGCAGAATTCACTCCAACCCAAGATAACCCCAGTGGACCAGTCAATATGTGGATTGTGTCTCTTTAACCACGGGTGACCCAAAACAAGTGGAAACTCAGGGGAGTCAATTATTAAAAATGAAATCATCTCTGAATGGTTACCTGATATGGTCAGACTTAAGGCAGGGGTGCATTGAGTGATATAGCAAAGAAGCCAGCCATCCAGTGCAGTGGTCTCCCGAGGACAAGGCAGAGATTCTAAGGCCAGACCTAGCTTCTTTGCTAACCCACTGTCCATAAAATTTTCATCTGCTCCTGAATCAACAAACACAGCCAGCTCCAGGGAACACCCGGAAACAGTCAATCGAGCATTAGATCTTGGTCTGGAGGGATTTTGTGAAGTAGAAGTTTGACTCACCAATAACCCTCGTCCTATTGATGAGCTTGATCTTTTACTGGACATGCAGCGAGGAAGTGGCCCAGCAGTCCACAATAAAGGCATCTTCCCTCCTTCCGGCAACGCTGGCGTTCCTCTGGGGTTAGACGGGTGCGTCCAATCTGCATGGGCTACTCACGTCCACAAGAGGATGCTGTTGTGTTGTTCTGTGGAGTCAAGGGAATAAAAGAGGAGGAAGAATCTGTAGACAAAGCTGGTCTTTCCAAGTGGCTTGATGGTCTGCGGGCTCCGCGGGTCCTCTCCATTCTTCTCTCCTGAAGTCTGTTGTCAATCTTTATAGCCAGGGCAACTAAAGAATCAAAATCAGGGGGCAAATCCAGTGGTGCTAGATGGTCCTTGATGTCCTCAGATAAACTGTGCAAAAAAGTGTCTCTGAGAGAGTTCTCATCCCACTCACTCTCTGCTGCTAGGGTGCGGAAGCTGATAGCATGGTCTGACACTCTGTTGCTTCCTTGTTGCAGGGTCAGCAGCCCTTGAGCTGCCTCTCTGCCTGGAGTGCGGTGGTCAAATACCTTGCAAAGGTACTCAGAAAAACTCTTAACAGTTTGTCATGACATGGATTGCTTATCCCACTCAGCTGTAGCCCACTCACGAGCTCTTCCTGTGAGGTGGGTTATGATGAAGGCTACACGAGAACTTTTAGTTGGGTATGAGTGAGGTTGCAGTTCAAAAGTCATAGAACAAAGTGACAAAAAGGAGCGGCAGTTTGAGCTATCTCCATCATATCTCTCAATGTTTGGAAGGCTAGTCTCGGGCCGATATTAAGCTTGACTCTCAGGAACACATGGTACAGGAGAAGGCTGAGGGGATGGTAAAGGTGTTGGAGGTTTCAGGAGAGTTAACATCTGTTGCAGTTGATTGGTTAAATCCTGAATCTGGTTGGTCATTGCAGTTTGAAAAGTATCTTGCCTTGCATGCAGTTCTTGTACACCTCCACAAAGAGAAGATAATTGCTGCTCATGTTCATGAAGCCTTTTACCTTGAGCACGGAGAGCTGAACGAAGAGTGTCTTCCTCTGCTGAGTCTGTCATGGCCAGATTACACTGACACGTTTCAGAAGAAAAGACTCAGATGCAGAGGAAAAAAACCCAGGACCAAAAAAAATGCAGAAAGTCAAAGTTCTTTACTCAAAAATTCAAGCAGAATTCAAAGGAAGGCAATTCCAAGAGTAACATACCAAAAGTCTTCAAAGTCCAAAAAACAAGCAAACAAAACTAGACCCACAGGGCTGGAAGGCATGAACACACTGGGAGACAATGATAATCTGGCAGAGGGCTGGTGAAAACACATGGTATATATACACAGGTGAAGGTGATTACAAATCAGTCACAGGTGAGTGATCAAAAGGTGGGAAAAGAACAAAGACAGGAAGTAAAACTAGACATCAACCAAAAACAACAGGATTTCAAAATAAAACAGGAAATTAACACAAACACACTAACAGCTAAAGAGAACATTACAAAAGCATGTTAAAGAACAACGTTAGCACCTCGTGTCTACCAGAGGGGACGAGTTGGACAACCTGAAAGTTGTCAACTGTCTCAGTGTCCTCTGTGTCCTCTTGTCCTCACGTCCTTACAGGTCAGGGTTAGTTGTCCTCACATAACTGAGAGATGAACCTCTGAAAGTGACAGACTTTAATATGTAAACCTACGTGACAGCAGGTGGATCATCATCATCATCAGACCAGACCTCACACCGCTCAGTCAGCTTTAACCTTGACTGTTTGGACTGAGAGTCAGGTTCCACAGTTCTCTGTCTTCTCCCTGATGATGTCACATCTTTCTGATTAAAGGCTCAGTTTTTGGTTCTGTGGTTTGTAAGAACTTAGTAAACTTAGAACGTTCCACCACACAGCAGTGTTCAGGTGTTCTCATGTTGTTTGTTAACAGACATTAAAGATGAGGAGGTTCCTTCACTCAGTACAGAGTCTACTGAGAACCATGCACTGTGTTCCCCTCTGCTGGGGGCGTGGCTTAATGCACTCTGTCTCCATGAACCTGTGACGTCACTGATCACATGATCATTTAAAATAACAACACGCAGGCTGTTGGCTCTCTCTGGTCCATGACTGAGCACCGCCAAGGTAGAACATAGAACATAGAACATAGAACATAGAACGGGTCTCTTCAAGGTCTGAGCTGTAAATAATGTTCATTTAAATCCTGCTGACACTGCTGTCTGTCTGTCTGTCTGCCTCTCTGTCAGGATGTGAAGTGGGTGGAGGAGAAGCAGGCGTTGTATCAGAGGAATCAGGAGCTGGTGGAGAAGGTAAAGCAAACTCACACACATGAACCCATGAAACAGATGAACCCATGAAACAGATGAACACAAAACAGATGAACACATGAAACTGATGAACACATGAACACATGTTGACATCAGTCTGTGTGATGTCTCATTGTTCTGACATCCATCAATGAGCTGAGAAACACAAAAAATGATCGTATTTTAAAGTTTTCTTCAGGTGACAGTTCGTCTGTGACATCTGTAGGAGCAATACCTTTAGACTCGTAATAAATTTAGGGGCACCATCCTCCGATGGAGGGAAGCGACTAATCAAATTAATAACTTCTGAAAGCAGTTATTAATTCATTAGTACACTTACCAATCATGAATCAGTCTCAATACCTGGGTTATGAATTCTCTATACAGTGATCTTAGTTCCTGCTTAAAATAAATATCCACAGACAATGACTTAATGAAGATTTATTTAGGGCTAAATGTTTAACAACTGAGTAAATGAATAGTAAATGAGGATGATATGAAATGACACAAAATCAACAGTATGTATAAATGGATTAAGACAAGAGGTAACACTTTTGTCAGTTATTCAGTTTGCCGATAGTGAGAGAGAATATGTGACTATAGATAAATTGGGGACGCAGGGATGCAAAACCATTTATCTAACGAAACGAAATTAAGATCAGAATAACTAAGTTTCTGATTCGACATCAACTCTTATCACAACACAGCAGCTGCATCAGGTGAGAGGGTTTTTGCCTACTTTTAGCAGCGTTGAATCAGGCGGATGTTTCTCAGAGGACCCCGGACTGTCACTTTGTGGCTCCCAGGCTTCCCAGCAGAACGAAGCCTGCTGGAGCACAGTGGTGGAGGGGTGGTTGAGCCTGACTGCAGTGTCTTTCAGGTGGTCCTCAAACGTCAATTATCTCAGGCTGCAGAAAGTCTCTTGATTTGGCAAAGGAACCACTGCTTTGTGGACACTTAGACAAGTGGCTGGCAGCAATGGATCCGATGAACTTTTGATGGAGTTACAGGTCGAACAGTAGCTTATCTATTGAGCTGTGGCTACTCGCTTATAATAAGGTTGAAAACAATCTCGTCGGCCGTTCGATATTATTATCAAAGTTATTATTAACGCGTATAAAAAATGTTGCAATTGGCTGGCTTTGTCGCTTCAGGTAGAATATTACTGAAGGCACAAACAAAAAGAAAGAAAACTCAGGACAGACAAGACAATCCTGGACGTGTCGAGCAAAACTTAAAAGTTTAAAATATTTCTATCATAAGAAAAGAAAGGGTTACGCAGCAACCGTGTGTAAGAGCGTAATGGGTCACAGCATAAAGAGTATAACTAGAAGGAGGGACGGCAAAAGAAAGAAGAATAAAAAAGTAAAATAAAGTAAAGGAACAAAGTAAAGAGGAAAGAAAAAGATGCGCCGAGCTCAATAATTTTATCCGACCAGATTGAGTGGGCGTGTTTGAGGCAAGGAGGGTCTCTTAGTTTAGACATTACTTTATTTCAGGTCGCCAGACTATCACAGGGCTGACACATAGAGACAGACAACCATTCACACTCACATTCACACCTACAGACAATTTAGAGTTATCAATTAACCTAGTCCACAATCTGCATGTCTTTGGACTGTGGGAGGAAGCCGGAGTGCCCGGACCCACGCTGACACAGGGAGAACATGCAAACTCTGCACAGAAGGGCTCCCACGCCTGGGATCGAACCGGCAACCCTCTTGCTGTGAGGCGACAGTGCTAACCACCGTGCCGCCCCGGAGGAAACTTAATTAACTTTATTTTGTGAGATTATATACTTTAACATGTTATGTGCGATAGACACACACTCTTCCCATTATGGTCAAAATTAAATTTAATATGATTATTATACCGCATATATCAGCGGAACACAAGTGTAAATGTTTCGTGCACAAACAAACTAGTCTGCAGTTACTTCAACATACTAAATGAGAAAGCACATAGTAATAAAGACAAGTTGATTAATTAATTAATACAACTATATCTTAACTCGAAATATAATATGGGATTCCTACGGGAACCCTTCTTAACTATCATCACAAGATGGCAGTATGACTCCATGTTAAATGAGGGATTAAACATATGAAATTAGAACTCACTCATACTATGACCTACAAGAGTGGAAAAAAAATTATTCAACTAAAAAAACAAGGATTATGCAGTTACAATGTTAGAACATGGATAAAATGTATAGTTTACTTTCAAGAAACATTTCAAGTTGGTTAACAAGAGAAACTTTGTCTCTGCTCAGGAATTCATACAGAATTTACGATTCACACACCTGTTTCTTATCTCATCATCACCAGGCTGAGAGTAAGATAGAGCTGGGGTGACTTTCATAGATGTGTTGGATAACAGATAGAAGGAAGAGAGGATGTAGTGAACTTAAAAGCATAGTTAATGTCTGGCTTAGTTGTCAAAACATTGAATTTTCCAAGGATGGTAATCAGCAAACTGGGCTCATGATGGTTTCCAATTGACACCTTTACCCCTCTTGACCCCAGGATGACGGTGAAAGAGTTCATCAACTTTGAGATGACACGGGCAAAGTTATAAACATTTGACCCTCAGAGTGGCCCATGTCCATTTCCTTACAATCTAGGTTTTGGGAGGGTTCAGAAGGCTGTTTTTCCCACACAGCGTTCAGCTCACTGTGACAAGCTCACTGTGACATCATTCAGCTCACTGTGACATCATCATTGTGACTTTAATGGATTCAAATAAAGACTAAAAAAAGGATAACTCACTGACTCCATGGCAACATGATACTTCCCTCAGAGCATGATGGGAGCTGTAGTTCAGTTAGAGCATGATGGGAGTTGTAGTTCTCAGAGTAAGAGTATGAGTGTGTCGATAAGACAAATGATTATAATCAGAGTGAATGAATCCATGAATGCTGATTGTTTCTGTGTTTTCACATGACGGAGACTCTGAATATTCTTCATATCAGATAGAGACAAACAGCATCATGTGACATTATCTGATATCATGTGACATGATGAGACATTTCTCTGACCATATGTTCCTGGTATGTTACAGGTCAAGCAGATGGAAGGGGTCGAGCTGAAGCTGGAAAACGACATTCAGGACGTCAAAGATCAAAACGAGCTGCTGGAGTTTAGGATCTTAGAGCTCGAGGTAATGACTGTCACGCACCCGTAAACAACAACAACAACCTGTTATAAATGTCACAGACTGATGAGTTGTCTCTGTTTCCATGGTTACAGGAAAGGGAGCGACGCTCACCTGCCATCAACTTCCAACAACTTCATTTCCCAGAAGGCCTCAGTCCTCTCCAGATCTACTGCGAGGCAGAGGGAGTCGCTGTGAGTGACATCACACCTGAGCTTTAAACATCTGAGTAGTAATAATAATAATAATTAATAAAGCATGATCAGATGTTCCTTCAGATGACGATGAAAACTAAATCAAGAATAAAAACAATGAGGAAACTATAAAACAGTAAATATTAAAGTCATGAAGTCAGACTTATACTGTTTACACAGATGTTTACAAATAAACACACACGTACACGCTCTGTGCACGAGCTTCAGCTCACACATGCACATTAACACATATCCATACACAGACAGGAGACACTGGGACCATATAAATATGACATCCTAAACATTGACTCAGACGTCGATGATCAAATCTCAACAGGAAGTACACTCCAGAGTTTGGACCACAACTGTAAACTCACCAGTAAATTCACCTGTAAAGTGGGGCGTCTGTAGCGTAGTGGATAGTGCCGGCGCCCCATGTACAGAGGCATCGCCTCGCTGCAGCGGCCGCGGGCTCAAATCCGGCTTGCGGCCCTTTGCTGCATGTTAGTCCCCACTCTCTCTGTCTCCCCATTTCACTCTCTGTCCTGTCAATAAAGGCAAAAAGCCCATAAAAATAATCTTTAAAAAAAAAAAACAACTCACCTGTAAACTCACCTGAGTGACTCAGAGTACTGATGAGTTGTCCTAACAGGTGTCTCCTTGTCGTCCTTCAGGACATTGTGATCAGTGAACTGATGAAGAAGTTGGACATTCTGGGAGATAACGCCGTAAGTGTATGTTGAATTTATTTTGTATGTGTTCTATTTGAACTCTGTTCTTTATCATGAGAACCAACAGATCTCGGATTGTCCTGTTTGTTTGGACCTAACCCTGCAGCAGCTTCTCTGTCATATTAAACATATGGTTTGAATCTGTCCCTGCTGTTCCACTGATGTTTGACTCAGCTCATGGAAACATGTTGACATGTATGTTAGTTACCACCAGAGGTCAGAGGTCAGAGATTGAGTCATCAGAATAACATGACACACGTGATTCATCAGAACAACATGACACACCTGTGACTCATCAGAATAACATGACACACCTGTGTGATGAGAACCAGGCTAAAAAATAATCACACACTGTTAATCAGCTCCTAAAATGAAACATCTCAGTCAGACAGATGTTGTCAGTCATTAACTCCTCTTTACTTTAAATACAGAGGCGTTTCATCATCATCATCATCATCATCATCATCACAATAAACAGCAAAAAATACTCTGCACTAATGTCACATACAGTTTGGTGGTACCTACAAGGTTAGTTAAGTCTCATCCAATGGGGAATTTTTGGAGATTGTTTTCAGTGTTATCAGATCACAGAGTCTCGTTTATGTCCCACTGACATGTCACTGTCTCACAGACACCTGCGTCTTTCACATGAATGTGCTCGTGGCTGATATGAAAACCCAGAGCTGACTGAACTGGTTGAAATCAGCTGTGTAGTAACTGGTTATCAGACGGACGATGTGATGGGTTAGTCAGACAGATAACCAGAAGGTATTCTGGGTAAGATGAACATGGTACAGACCTCTGGACGGTGATGGAAACATGTTGACCTGTTGTTGATATGCTGTTAATGTGTTGTTGACATGTTTGTTAGTTTATCATCAGGACCCTCTGATGTTGTCTTATCACTTACACATGGTGGACAGATTTGACTCAGTCATTGTTATTGACATGTTGTTAAAGTGTTGTTGATGTGCTGTGGTTATGTTTTTTACCATGTTGTCGACAGGTGGTTTACACATTGTTGACATGTTTTTGACATGTTGTTGATGTGTTGTTGACATGTTTTTTTTTTAACATTTTGTTGTTTACCTGTGTGCCTGCAGAATCTGTCCAATGAGGAGCAGGTGGTGGTGATCCACGCCCGGACTGTTCTTACTCTGGCTGAAAAGGTAACACTTACCTGAACACTGTCCACCAACTGTCCTCCAACTTACCTGACCTTTGACCCTGTTTATACATACTGTCTGTCCCCTGATGGGAAATCAGTGATGTCACTTCCTGACACACTTTCTAACAGTTTCCCCTTTTTGTTCATCTGTCTGTCTCTGCCTGTCTGTCCACATCTGTCTCTGGTCAGTGGTTGGAGTCCATTGAAGTGACGAAGTCGGCTCTGCAGCAGAAGATGTTGGACATCGAGAGTGAGAAGGTAAAAACTTTACAGTGACCTGATTCTTCTTCTCCGGAGCCTTTGTGCTCCACTGTCTCTCAGATTAACTCATATCACAGCGGTGCCTGGACAGCGTGACGTGTGTGGTTGTGCTGCTGCCGTGGTCCTGCCAGATGCCTCCTGCTGCTGCTGCCATCATTAGTCATTAGTCATACTTCTACTGTTATTATACACATATGATTATTGTCACTTATGTATACTTTCAGATATTAATATATACTTTCAACATATTGTATCACAGTAGCCAGAACTATAATTATAATATTATTACTTTCATTAATGTTGTTGTAAGCTACTGTCATTACCTGCATCTCTCTCTCTCTCTGTCTCTCTCTCTTTTTCTCTTTCTGTCTCATTGTGTCATACGGATTACTGTTGTGATTTGTGATATTACATTGTGATTTGTGATATTGGGCTTTATAAATAAAATTGAATTGAAATTGAATTCATTTCTTCAACATGTCAAACACTTAAATCACTAAAATCAGTTAGTGTTCAGTAACAAGATGTCGTCTTCACTATTCGTCAGATCAGTATCATTAGTATCGTCAGTATCTACTATTCTGTTTTAAGTTTTCTTTGATGACGTCTTCATCAGAAAGTGACCAGATCAACTGATAAGTGACACTGCAGTTTATGGTCACCATCTTAACCCTGAACCCACGAGGACTAAGCAGAAGGAGCTCAGTTAGGACAGTGTTCAGCAGCCCAAATATAGTATTTTAGATTTGTCTTCAGTGAGTTGGAGGAAGTGTCTTTGACATCAGTAGTTGATGTCCCTGAGACATTTTTATAAAGACCTCAGTCTGTCTGTCCTGGTTTCATAGACACACAGAGTTGAGTGTCTTCAGTCTAACAGTGAAGAGAGATTTCATGCTCAGACGAATTGTGTAAATATACAGAACAGAAGAGAACCTAGGACAAAACCCTGAGGTACTCCGTTCTGCATCATGCCAGCAGATGATGATAAGTTTCTCAGAGAAACTGTAAACTGTCTGAGAGACAGGAGCTGAACCATCAGAGAGCAGGGGGACCGTCAGACGTCAGATTGACATTCTGTGATTGACTGTATCAAAAACAGAACTTCAGTTTGTTTAACGATGTTGTTCTGCACATGTTCAACCATGCTGATGTGAATCGTTTATTTGGGTTCAAAGTTTCCGTGTCACATGAATCTGTTGCCAGTGGAGGAAGACAGAGAGTTGCTAGTTTGATTCCCAGTAAGTGTCACAGTGACCTCTGACCTCTGTGTGTTATCTGTAGGATCTGTTCAGTAAACAGAAGGGTTACCTGGACGAAGAGTTGGACTACAGGAAGCAGTCGATGGACCAGGCTCATAAGGTCAGTGTGAACAGCTGCAACAACCACAGCACAACAAATCAGCCAACGTACAATCGTGAACAACAACAGTCTGAGGGGTTTGTTTTTAGAAATGTCGCTGAAGCACCAAAGTTATATGAAGGACCTGCGCAGGTTCAGGGTTTAGCTGATCCTACAGAGTCCAGCGGCAGGTTCAGGGTGTAGCTGATCCAGCAGACAGTCTGACGTCGGGATCAGACTTCCTCATGTTTCCGTCCTCCTGTCTTTAATTACTGCTGTGACTTCGTCTGAAGACTCATTGATCCAACCAAAGTTTGTCATGTTTCATTTTTTCACCACATCTGTGACATCATTTCTTTCTCGCTCATTTTGACACAGTTCTCTGATCAAACACCATCATAAACAAACAGGAGCTTGCCAGGAGTCACTAATGTGTCCGTCATTTATGTGAAAACATAAAAGTAAAAATAGAATTAGTGACGAGATACGACTCTTGACTTCCTTTACGACATGGTTTCCTGACGGAAGATGAAATACAGTAAGCGTAAAGTCTCAGTCAGATTCACATGTTTCCACCGTCTCACAGAAGCTATGATTTTTTTAATGTGTTGGATTTGAAACAACACACAGTTGACTGCAGGGCTACAGGGTTTACCACCGGAGCTACAGGGTTTACCACCAGGGCTACAGGGTTTACCACCGGGGCTACAGGGTTTACCACCAGGGCTACAGGGTTTACCACCGGGGCTACAGGGTTTACCACCGGGGCTACAGGGTTTACCACCGGGGCCACAGGATTAATCTTGATCTTGAATTAATCTTGGTCTTGCATTTATATTGATTTTGAGTTTATATTGATCATGAATTAATCTTGATCTTGAGTTTGTATTAATCTTGAGTTAATCTTGATCTGGAGTTTTCATTGATCTTGAGTTAATCTTGATCTTGAGTTGATAGTGACCTTGAGTTAATAGTGACCCTGAGTTTATATTGATATTGAGTTAATATTGATCTTGACTTAATCTTGACCTTTATGATCAGATAAAATATTTTATTATTTTAAAACGTGCTGTCGTTGACTCAGAGGATCCTGGAGCTGGAGGCCATGTTGTTTGAGGCTCTGCAGCACGAGGAGGAGTCCAAAATGGAGGGATTAAAGATGGAGGAGGGTCGTCTGTCTGAAACACTGACGGAGACAGAGAGGGAGGGGCTTAGGAGAGCAATGGACCAATGGAAACGAACTTTGATGTGCGAGCTGAGAGAAAGAGATGCACAGATCCTCCGAGAGAGGATGGAACTGCTGCAGCTCACACAACAGGTAAACATATAAACAACATGTAAATATATAAACAACAGGTAAACATGTAAACAACAAGTAATTATGTAAACAACAGGTAAAAATTTAACCAAGAAACAGTAAATGTATCTTATGTTTGTTGTGTTGTTGACATGATGTTTGTTTGTTTATCTGACAGAGGAACAAGGAGCTGGAGGAGTGTATAGAAGCACAGAAGCGACAGATCAAAGAGCTGGAAGAAAAGGTAGAGACCGGTAGAAACACAGTGAAGTCTGGTTCTGGAGGGAGACGTTGTTTTACTGTCAGAGTTCAGCAGGTCTTGACACATGTTCACTGTAACAGATGAAGTCTGTAAACAATCTGTCACTATAAACTGACACTTCATTATCTTCTTCTTTTTCTTTCAGTTTCTATTTCTGTTTCTATTCTTCTCGTTGGCCTTTATTCTCTGGTCCTAACAGCAGCCGGTGAGTCACACCACAACATGGTTACTGTTGAACAACACACGTAACTGCAGGCCAGAGAGTCTGCGCCAGGTGAACAGGGTTTATCCAAGGTGTACAGGGTTTATCCCAGGTGAACAGGGTTTATCCCAGGTGAACAGGGTTTATCCAAGGTGTACAGAGTTTATCCCAGGTGTACAGGGTTTATCCCAGGTGTTCAGGGTTTATCCTAGGTGTACAGGGTTTATCCCAGGTGTTCAGGGTTTATCCTAGGTGTACAGGGTTTATCCCAGGTGTACAGGGCTTATCCCAGGTGTTCAGGGTTTATCCTAGGTGTACAGGGTTTACCCCAGGTGTACAGAGTTTACCCTCGATGTACAGGGTTAAACCCAGGTATGCAGTCTTAAGGCCCGGGTACATGTGACTGTCATTGTATTTAAGCTCTACACATCAGATTCAAAGGTGTTAACATGTCAGTCTCTGTTTTAGTGTCTGCAGGCCTCCAGAGTCCAGCAGCTGAACAGTCAGCAGGCTCGGCTCAGTCCAGATCAAACTAAACGACAAGAGGATTCAGAAGGATTCAGGGTTTTGAATCAGCAATGTACTGAGTGAGGCATGTTGGCTTCACTGCCACAATGACCTGCCTCTGGCTGCTGTCAGCCAATCAGAGCAGAGCCCATCTGTCAGCTGACTCCAGACCTACACCATCACACCTCACTGACGAAGACAAGGATGGTTTCCACGACAACTGTTGTGTTTCAGACAAGTAAAAACCACAACCAGCAACATGCTAACGAGCTTCCAGTTAGCTACTGTTTACCAGGAAGTTTTGGTTGAGACCCCCGACGTACAGCCGACAAACATATTCTGGCCTTGGGAGGCAGCTGGAACAAAGTGGTGCTGGACTTCATTCACTGTTAGCTAGGCTAGCTCTCCATACAGTGTTAGCTCAGCTAGCCCTACTTCATATAGTGTTAGCTCAGCTAGCTGGACGTCATACAGTGTTAGCTCAGCTAGCTGGACTTCATTCAGTGTTAGCTCAGCTAGCTCTCCTTCATACAGTGTTAGCTCAGCTAGCTCTCTTTTATACAGTGTTAGCTAAGCTAGCTCTCCTTCATACAGTGTTAGCTCAGCTAGCTCTCCTTCATACAGTGTTAGCTCAGCTAGCTCTTCATTCAGTGTTAGCTCAGCTAGCTCTCCTTCATACAGTGTTAGCTAAGCTAGCTCTCCTTCATACAGTGTTAGCTAAGCTAGCTCTCCTTCATTCAGTGTTAGCTCAGCTAGCTGGACGGCATACAGTGTTACAGTTGACTGACCAGTTACTGAGGTTTCAGCATCAGACACAAAGCTCGATTGATCACAACAGACATTCAGTAAAGTGGTTGCTAAGTTACCTTGATGAGTTCACATTATAGAATCACAGTAGAAAACATTATGAACGGTTGTTCTCACCTGTCCTGACATCAGTTCAGTTGAAGTGAACTTTGTTCTGATTGGCTGTCCCCCATGAGGACTGGAGTTCAGCTCATAGATCTAAGGTTACAGTGTGTAACCTTCATGTAGTGTCAGCCCACCTGAATCATCCAGGGACCAAAAACTGATGAAGGCGACTCTACTTCACGACGTCAGGACGTGTGCTGGAGGTCCGAGCTGCAACCACAAATACAATAACAACTGAAGTGAATTAAGATTTGATCTGAGGAAACACAGGTTGAAGTTTGAGAGATGAAAGAAATATTTGATTTAATAATAAACCTGATGCAGTTAAATGACATCCCCAGATTTATGGTGATGATGTCACAGGTTAATGATGGAGGAAAGTACAACGTCAGTTCTGCATAGACCCGACTGAATATAATGGAGGATCACACACATACATACAGTACAGGCCAAAAGTTTGGACACACCTTCTCATTCAATGCGTTTTCTTTATTTTCATGACTATTTACATTGTAGATTCTCACTGAAGGCATCAAAACTATGAATGAACACGTGGAGTTATGTACTTAACAAAAAAAGGTGAAATAACTGAAAACATGTTTTATATTCTAGTTTCTTCAAAATAGCCACCCTTTGCTCTGATTACTGCTTTGCACA